ATTTATATATATATATACATAAAAAAAAAAACACTTACACATCTATAAAACACATGAATTTTATGTAAACCAAAAAACAAAAAAAAAAAAAAAACATTTTACGTACATTGATTGTTAAATTTTTGCGAAAAATACATTTTTATATGAAAATTCGGACCCACCCACTCAGACTGAAGAAAAATTGAGGAAAAAGTCAAAAAAGATCAAAATTAAAAATCAGAAATATTGCAAAAAATCTGCTAACAATGACGTTTTTAATTCGCTCAATAAGTCCAATACTGCTTGTCTTAACTCCAAGAGCTTAATCGAAGAACAGAAAGCTTGTCATCATCCTACATTGAATATAAAAATTAATATAAAATCTAAAGATATAAAAAAAGGAGTAAATCAAGTAACACGCTCCACCTCCTCCTCCTCCTCCTCCTCCTCCTCCTCCTCCTCCTCATCCCTATGCCCGACTATAACTTCTATTAGGGACTTTAAACGGCGGGCGAATACCGTTCGTTCATTTGAAAAGCAAACTGAATCATTAATAATAGCACAACCATTATTACCATCTACCCAAACCACCACCACCACCACTACCATCACAATGACCACAACCACAACCACAACCACAACAACAACAATAACAATAAAAAAGAAAAAAATAGGTAGAAGATGCCGTTCTACAACTACAATCGATCATCATAATTCGAATTCCTTACAGAATTGCCAGTTTTGTACATCTGGCGAGAATGAGGATAAACTATTGCTGTGCGATGGTTGTGACAAAGGCTATCATACCTATTGTTTTAAGCCGAAAATGGAAAATATACCGGAGGGCGATTGGTAAGTATTCAAAATTCTAAGGTTTTGTTGGTGTGGCAAACATGTTCTCTCTTTCTCCTTCTCTCTATCTCTCTCTCTCTCTCTATCTCTCTATCTCTCTCTCTCTGTCTCTGTCTCTCTATCTTTTTTACAAATAATTTTTATCATAATTTTCTTGTTTTTTTTTCGTTTTTGTTTTCGTTTTCTTTATTCGACACTAACTATATATGATGTGTGATAGTTTTCATTTAGTTAATGCGCTATGTTTTTTGTCCTAATTTTCTTCTTTTCTTTTTTTTTTTTTTTTTTTTTTTTGTTTTGTTTGTTTCTTTCTTTCGTTGTGTATGAAGAGTGTATATGGTTTCCATGTTTTTTAAGTAAAGTCTGCAAAACACAATCAATCGTTTGTCATGTCCATTAAAAATTTAAAAATTTTACGCCATGTTGTCACCCAAGCACAATTGTTGTTTAATAATCTATTCTATTTGCATTAAAGGAATTTTGTGCAATTTTCCTAAATAATTTTAATTTTCGTTTTCTTTTTTTTTGTTTTCTTTTTTCATATTTAATTTCAGGTATTGTTATGAATGCGTGAACAAGGCCACAAATGAACGTAAATGTATTGTATGTGGTGGCCATCGTCTCCCTCCGGTGGGTAAAATGATTTATTGTGACTTGTGTCCACGTGCTTACCACGCTGACTGTTATATACCGCCTTTGCTTAAAGTGCCTCGCGGCAAATGGTATTGTCATGGTTGCATTTCGAAGGCACCACCGCCAAAAAAACGTTCCTCATCAAGTAAACCTCGCCGTGAACGTGACTCATCTGCCTCGCTCTCGAAACGTAAAGATAAACATCATAATACATCGGCGAGTTGTGATCAGTTGAATACAACCAGCGATCATCATAATTTGCACAATTCATCGCACGATGAATCGATGACCTCGTTGCCGCCACCTTTGAGGTAAATAAATAACCACATAGTCTCGGAATTTTTTTATACCCTAAAGCATTTGTGATACAAGGGCGTATTAAGTTTGTGCAGACTTAAGATAGATCTTCGTGTGTCCGTCCGTCAGTCCGTCCGTCCGTCCGTTTTGTTTTCTTGTCTACAATCTAAGGATTCTCAGATTTGACTTTGTCGACCAGTGCCCATATATGTAAACAATTATTTTGAAAAGTCAATATATATATATATATATAATCGTATTAAATGATGTGGTGTAGAGTATTTAGTGGTGTTTTTCCTTATTCACTAAAGATATGAAATCAACTTAATTAGAATTTGAAAAGGGAACAATAACTCCTTTTGCTCTTTGGTGGACAAACATGAATATTCATGAAAGTGTTTTAATATGTAACTGCGCACAGTTAAAGTTACAAATTTAAACACTAGTATTTGCGATTCGTATGAGCTTCAAAAATTTTTTTTCTTTTCCCCAGTAGTCCAGCTCATTCAATAGCCTCCACTTCGTTTGATGAGCATCACAATAACTCCATTGATACGTCGCGCTTCCAAAACCAACTAACTAATCGTCCAGTTGCGCTAAGTCCTCCGCCTACCACTAACGATTTCATTAATGATACCAGCATGGATGGCAATTCCAATACTGCCACGTTACTGCAGCTTCAACAACAGCAGCTACCACAACCGCAATCGCAACCGCAACCGCAACATCATCAACAGCAGCAACAGCAACAGCAACAACAACAACAACAACAACAGCAGCAGCAGCAACAACAACAACAACAACAGCCAACCAATAATATCGCACTAACGATACCTCCTATGCAACACAACCAAACACCGGCAAACACATTTAATAGCATGCCGCAAGCATTGTTACCACCGGTAGTACCACCGTCATCGACGCAAACTCTTCAAACTATATCACATTTTGGCAATTTGACAGGAGCAACAGTTACAAATCAACCAAACCATTTGCCGACCTATATAAACGCTACCACAGCTCAATTACCACCGCCGTCTCCACAAACACCCACCCAGTTGGGATTACCAACCAATAGCAGTATTTTGGGTAATCCAACGACGCAATTAACACCAGCAATGGCGTCTGTGGGAACGCCAATTGCATCTACAGCCCCTGTGCTACCCACAACTTCACTTATGTGCGTTGCTACATCTCCTCAACATTCCTTGGCCTCACCGCGGGCCACCACACCTACGCAATTTCATCATTCATCCCAACCATCACCACAAATGCACGCTCCCGCTACACCGCCAACATTGAACGCTATCGCCACGGTCACGGTCGCCACGCCGGCTACCACTACCACTGCTTCAAATCCTGTAGTTTTGGCTCCTCCACCGCCTATCAATATACATGCCGTGCAAGAGGCGAAGGAAAAATTAAAGCAAGAAAAAAAAGAGAAACATGCCACAAAAAAGTTAATGAAAGAATTGGCTGTGTGCAAAACTGTTTTGAGTGAAATGGAGGTATGCATGAAATCATAATTTCAATCCAAAAAAAGCCTTTTTTTTATCCAGTTAATGGAGTAGATAGATATTAATGCTAGTCGAGTAGCAGTTTTCCTCTACAGGTTTTCTTGAAGTTTTTGAAGAATCCCCACGACTTCTTATGTAATATCTCTGTTCCCCCGTTCCTCTTCCAATTAGATCAAATTGAAGCACGCCCACTAAAGCTAAATCGTTGAATCAACTTTTAACAGCAATCAGTTAAGACAGGGCGATAAGTTTGTTCGTATGTACGTAATTTTTTTTTACTTTTCTTTTTTTTTTTTTAGAGAAAGCAACGAAAGTAGAAAATAAAATATTAAGTATATCTTCCTGTATTAAATGCTTCTTATACGCATTATCGAAGGAGGAGGGGGAGTATATTCATTTTATCAAAACGTTTGCAATGCCGAAAAGGAAGCTTTAGTGAGCCAACAAAGTATCAAAGTATCTTGATCAGCGTTAAATTCTGAATCGATTTGATCATGTGTCCGGCTGTCCGGCTGTCCGTCTGTGTAATGTCTGTTGTAAACATTCTCCTGCTTGGAAAAGTCGACTTCAAATGTGTCTGAAACATTGGAAGTTCTTCGACGCAGTTGGGTACTGAAAGTGGGACAAATCAGTCGAAGGACACGCCCACAGCACCACGTAAACTCGCCACTCAAACTATGGCAAATAAATGTACAAAAATTTGAATGCATATTATATAAGCGATGTTGTAACATTTTTCGCAAAAAACGGAAAAAATTGACCACGCCTACCCAATATTATAATGTATCAAAATTTAATTATTTTTTCAATACCTTTATGATGGGCAGAAACAAGCTTCAAAAAGCCCCATAATGCATATAAATTCTTGCACAATACCTTAGGCAAGTCGATCGGTTTGTCCGTCCACCGATTCGTCTGCCCAACTGCGTAGCATGTGTGATAAACATGCTACCGTTTACAAGAATGAAGACATCGCCTACAAATTTGCAAGAGAATTTGGAATTGACCTAAATATTTCAAAGGACACGCCTACACAACAAAAACCTTTATTTTGGAAATAAAAAAAATCAACCTTGACCACTCCATATTATAGAGCATAACAATTTAGTTCTTCTTCTTCTTCTTCTAGTAGTAAAAGATTCGGTCACGACCAAATATAATAATCTTTCTTGCTCTCATTTAAAAAGTTTTCATATCCATTTCCATTGACAATTAGAAATTCTGATCCATTGGAGGAGAGTTTTACATTAACAAATAATGGAATTTCCGTCGTAGCACCTCTATCCATCTAAATTAAATTTTTTTATTTAATATATTTTATATTAGCTCCACGAAGACTCTTGGCCGTTTCTTTTACCAGTGAACACAAAACAATTTCCTACGTATCGTAAAATCATAAAAAGTCCTATGGATTTGTCGACAATCAAAAAGCGTCTTCAAGACTTAAGGTGACTTTTAAAATAAAATCTGGAAAAGAAAACATAAATAATATTTTATTTTTAAACCCATGATTACAGTTATAAAAGCCGTGAAGATTTTTGCGTCGATGTCCGGCAAATCTTTGATAACTGCGAGATGTTTAATGAGGACGATTCACCGGTGGGCAAAGCGGGTCATGGTATGCGCAAATTCTTTGAAATGCGTTGGGCGGAACTAACTGATAAGCACTCATGATATCAAATGCAACATCAACAACAACAGCAGCAGCAACAGCAGCAACAGCAACAAACACAACTCAAATATAACAGCGAATAAGTAATAAATAATGAATTAATTAAAAAAAAAGTGATTAAAATAAAAAAAAAAAAACAAAAATGTAATCATTTTAAAGAAATCTAAAAAAAGAATATTAAAATAAAAGTTAGTAACAAACAATCAATCGCACACACACACAAACACACTCACACACGGAGACACTTACACAAGGTAAACGAGCAAAAACAAACATTAATTAATCACTTAAAATGCTTAATTTGTAATTTAATGAAAAATATTGAACTAAAATTGAATTTTAATTAATTAAAATAAATAAAAATCTTAACAAAAAGCAAAAAGAGAAAATAACAACTGTACATAGATAACAGCGCAATGATTTTTAAATTTAATTTCAAACTTTTAATATATAGTTTTGGTGTTCTAAAGCTCTCTGTATCGCGCGGCAGTTTTTGCGTATGCTGTCGATCTTGTATTTACCACAAATATACTCTTTTTTTTTTTTTTTTTTTTTTTTCTTTTATATTTTTTTTTCTAAGCGGAACTAAACACATAACTAAATTGTAGATTTTTCGTAATAACTTTTTTAAGAATTTTTCATATTATTATATAGTGTTTTTTTTTTTTCTTTTGAAATATTTTTTACATTAACTAAACAGTATTTTTTATATTATATTGTTCCCAAAATAACCCTCAATACACAAAAATTACTTGAAATAAATTAATAAATATAAAACTAAAAATAAACAAATTAATAAGAAAGGGTAGAATAAAACTTAATAATAAATCGCAAAAAAAAAAAAAATAAAAAAAAAATTTGCATAAAATCTTAATGAAGTAAGGAGTAACAATTTCAAAATAATAAAAGTAAAAAAAAATAAATAAATAAAATAATTAATTGTTGTACTTAGTTGTTAAATGAGTGTAACATATAAGAATTTTTAATGTATAGGGTCTTCATTATCTTATGTATATACAAAATGAATATAACCATAATAAGTAATGGCTAAAAGAATATAATGTAAACACTCACAATAAAATAATAATAATACAATTGTAATAATAGCAATAGCAATAAAAAATGGTAAAACAATTCATTGAAATATTTTTTTTTAAGGACGCTATAAAAATTGCAAATATATATACATATATATTTTTATAAATATATATATATATATTAATAAGCAACAGCACAGTATAAAACATTTTAGACTTCTTTACAGTATTTTAAGTTTATATTATTATTATTATTATTAAAAGTTTCTACATTTATTATAAGCTTTTATTATTATTAACCTTATTTTCACGTTATAACTTTTTTTGGCAGCTTAAAAAGTTTTGTATTTGAATCTTATGTATTTACTGAATTTTTTTATATACTACTATTATTATTATTATTATTATTTTTTTTTTGTTTTTTCAAGTAAAATCGTTATCGTATTTATTTCACTTTTCTTTTTTTATTATTTTATTACTATTTATATAAAAAATTACCTTTTCTTGACTTTTTTGAATGAAAACATTAAAAACGAGAAAAAAAGAGAAAAAAATTTTTTCGAAAAAGACAAAAAATTCTGAAAAGTTGTTTTTGTTTAAAATGAAATATATTCAGTGTAAAGTCTTTCGATTTCTCCTAACGGAGTTTTCATCCTATGCAACACAAATTTTTGACATATTGTTTTTCCATTTTTTTTTTTTTTTTTTTTTTTTTTTAATAGAATAAACGTTTAATATGAAACGGAGGCGGCTATTACATAAGCAAACTCCAAATAGTAAATTTTTAATTTTTGGACATTTTTGCAATAATGAATTAAGAGGATTGGGAGTTTAAGGAGTAGCTGTAACTGTTATTTGGTCATGGATGTTTAGAGTTTAAAGCCAGCGGTGAAAGTAGTAATCACGACTTAAGTGGAAGGGCGCAGCAAAGGGGCACAGTCAGATGGACAACTCTCTCTACTCCTCTTGCTGATTTCGTCACAACGTTCATATTTGAAATTTCTACTGCAGTGAAAGTTGGTCGAAACTTGGAAGATATAATCTCTCTCCGAAAGCGTCATTTCGAAAGATCACAATATTTGTCGATGCATTAAATACACAATTGAATTGCGTGCCATTTCGAAAAGAGAACGTAACTAGTACTTAGACTGTAGTAGGTTTTCTCGTCGTCGATGTCGAGTCGGCTCGATGGAGTAAGCTCGATTCTTTACTCGATAGTGAGAACAAATAAAAACACAATACTCGACCAGGGCTCACCATTAAATACCTAACAGTACCCTACATTTATTTATAAAGACTCTTCCAAATAAATCTTCATAAGTAGAAACCCTACGCTGTTTCGCTTAACACTGTTATTCATATAGGGGATTTTATTTTAATAGTTTGTCGTCATATGGAAAATAGTTGAAAAAGTGATCCGATGCGAACTTGTGTTTACTTTTTTCATTATTATTTATTGTTGTTTCTAACGTTCATCGTTGGGCCAAAACACGCTGGTGTATCGAATTTCATCAAGTTATCTCGAAACTTAGAATCTATGGGTCGAAAACAAGACGGGCAGCGGCGCAGACATTTTTAGGTCAATTCGAGGAGTGTTTCTGAATCGGTCGGCATCGTACATCCGTCCGGAAACTTAATATAGCCTTGTATTACAAATAGCGTAGAATATAAAAATGAATACTTTATCGACAGATGTATATTTATATTAACTACTCGTTGCAGCGACACGATAATCGACTGTTATCGAGTTTACTCGATATCGACAGCTATAAAGCGGTCTCTGCTTAATGTGACTGTGCCCGTAATTATTTTATGCGAAATTTTTTTTAGTCTTTAGGTTGCAATATAGATTATCTTGTTGATGCGTGAGTTACATAATTCGTGGGCGTAGCCTTGCTTTTCTAGTTTAATTCGAAGATAATTGCTATTGAATCGTGATGGGGTTGCAAAAAGACGAAGATACGAATAAGAAAAGAACTGCGATCTATTAGTATCGACGGCACCGCTCGCCCTTTCGGTATATTAAATGGATCCTGGGTATACCTGATCCATTCTCACACGCTCAAATTCATCGCTGAGACACGTTTTCGCACAACAACCAATGGCACGATAACGTGACTACGATTAAAGTGAAAGCTATTGTAAAATAATGGTCGCTTAAAAAAAAATAATTAAAAAGAATTTACACAGTTTAAAAGTAAATCAGAAATCATATGGGAAAGGAAATCATGCTTTCTTTCTTTCACCACACAGGAGAAGTGCAATTCAATAGAGATGGATGGTATGGTGTTCGTTTTCAAAGAATAAACCCTAAGGAACTTCTTTCTTTTTCCTTTCAAACATAATATGTGGGTCCCGTTGAGGTCTTTAATGTGCTTCATGCTTTATTTGTAGTCAAACGATTAATTCATCATTCTCTTTTTCATCGCCCGTACGTAGGTTGAATCTAACTTCTTTTATGGATTTTTCACATTGATTTTCTTTTTTATTTTTTTTTTTTACTGTTTTACTGTTTGTTTTCTTAGGCATACATACGTGTTGTGCTAAACCTAAAAGGATAAAATATTCAAATATAATTCACTTTCGAAAAATACGTGAAAACAACAACAGTGCGAGAAATTTTTCATTTATAGAATTTTAACTACAAAAAAAAAAAAAAAAAAAAAAAAAAAAAACATATATACATATATGAGGATGATGTAAAAAAATAGCACAATAATTACTTTTAAAAAAAAAAGACTTTTTTTTTGAGTTTTTTTCAAACAATGAACATAAAACAACAACAACAACAACAACCAAGCAGCACAATAACAAAACAATAATATAAACAAAATAAAAAAAAAAAAAAAAAAAAAAAAAAAAAGACAAAAGCCCTAACAAAACCGAACAAAACAAATAGCCAAGCAAATGTATAATTTATATAGAAATATACAAACTACATATAAAAAATAAAGTATATACATAAAAAAAAAATTATTTTATACTCGATTGTAGAAAGAGAAACGAAAAGAAAAAAATATTTAATAAAAAGGCTAAAACATTAGAGATCGTATACACATATACACAATCATAAATTAATTAAAATAAGACTCATTTGCAGTGATAAAGTGACGTTTCAAAGACTAATCATCAGCCATCATTAACCGCCCCCCCCCCCTTTCTCTTTATTCGTTACTCTCTCTTCCAGATCATTACATAAAAAAAAAATCTTGCAAATATTTCATATAATTATACTTAGCCTCAAATGTAATGCCATCTCACACAACCTATATATAATTACATACATATAAGAGTCTTTGTATTATATGAATACTATTAAAAAAAAAAAAAAAAAAACGTTCTTGTAAATATCGTTTGTTGTGAACCACTGCTACAGTCTGGGAATAAGTCTACAAAAATACATTTCAATTTCTTAAAATTTTCAATTTTTCTTTTTTTTTTGAAAAACGAATGAATTATATATAATTTAAAAAAAAAAAACAAAAAAAAAAAGAAGCAAATTAATGAGAGAATTAAAAATTGATAATCTTTCACTATACACACTAATTAAAAATAATCGCTATATAATAAATAAGTACATTATATATATCATATATATATCATATATATATATATATATATATATACATATACATATATTTATATATATGTATAAGTATATGTATATATATATATATATAAATATATGAATAAACAAATTAAAAAATATGTATACACAGAATATACGAACAGTAATGCAAAAATTTAAAAAATATATCATTTAAATAGAATTCAAGAAAGAGAATAAATAACTTTAAGAAAAATAATAAGTTACAAAAAAAGAAAGAAAAAAAAAGAAGAAAATATTTCTAAAGCACTACTACTACTACGATTTGCCGATAAATTATTAGCAATGCAAAGGACGTAAGTATTTTAGTTTTTAACTTCGAAAATCTTCCTTGTGAATGCGAACAAAGCGAATAAAATTTTGGGGGAACACATACGGAAGATTTCAGTTTGATAATGTGTTGGTGATCCCGAAGAAACAGGTTGACAATTGCATTCCACGCATTGTCGAATACAATATTGCAGTAATAATGACAGTTTGGCGGACGCATTTCTCAAATTTCTTACAAA